TAGGCACCAGCTCTTGGGGGGAATCGTTGGAGAGGGAGCGATCCCAGTGACCCGCAACAATTCCGTTTCTCATGGGTTTTCTTCATCTGTGCACCCCCACCTCTGTCTTGATTTCTAATGGGCTAACTTCTGATCATAGGCTCTTAAATGAATATAGCAAGAAAATCAAACGCAAGGAAATGCTTCACTAATGCACGTGTTCAAGCATTCACTTCGCTGGAGCCGAAACAGCCTCAAAATGGATTGGGTACATGGACGGTGCAGTGGAGAGCGGGTTTCGGGCTGCACATGAAGTTCTTCATCAACTCGGGTATCACGACAAAATCTCCTATACGGTTTTGGTGGGTATCGCCTCGTTTTACTATTTTTATCAGATATTTGATATGAGCAGCTTCAAAATAATCTAGCAAATTTAATGCGGATCGAGTGTATGGTAATATCACCCTTATTTGAAATAATGAGTAGTTAATACAAAGGCAGAAGGAGTGGTGGTGTGCCACGGAGGGACTTGGATCATTCATTCGCTAAGATGGGATTATTCGCGATTAGCAGCAACAAAAAAGGCAGTCTGATCGACATGTCGAATTGAACAATGATTCCAAGGTCAGAGGAAGAAAATAAATATGCCTAGTTGAAAGGCAGGCCCACCCCTTAAGACTGATGTCAGAATCGAGCAGTTGCTACTAGCGATTTGCTAGCGTCCGCGGTCGCGTCGCCTACCAGCGAATGGCTCGATTCATGGTACCGCGACGCGACCGCGACGCTAGCGAATCGCGCGATTCGCAAAGTCTGACATCGGCCTAAGGGGCGGGACGCGCGTTTTTGCGAGCAGAGTATGTACCCGAGCCACGGCACGCTCACCCCCTCGCCGTCGTACTCTAGCCGTATAGCAGAGAGAGCGTTAGCGTTGAAGAGGGCAGCACCGATGAGAGTCGCATCAATGCGAATCAACGGGCAAAAAGGGTCTCCATTTCTCGGGTTCTGGGCTGTTTCTCATGGTTTTTCCATCTATGTACCACCTCTGTCTTCATCTCCAATAGACTGCCTTTCATTGTGAACTCTGGCTTCAGTCCTTTACGTGCCCAAAATGCGCACCAGGGCCGCCACTGACGAATTTCCTTTCAGAAGGGTTCAGTCTATGACAGCGAGTACAAGCAACCGGTTACGACTTCAGAGCATTACGTTGAAAGAACGTCTTATTGGTGAGTTTCCCAGGAACCATTTCTTTAATAGGGCTACAAGAGCGAAAGTAGTAGGAAAGGCCACTCTTGGGCATTTCCTTTTACCAGCTCCGCACAGAAAGGATTAATTTCAGGCGGCGAGGTGTTTTCTTCATCACAGCCCTATGCTTGGGTGTTCTTGTGTACAGCAAAAAATACAAGTTATCGTACACCGCAAAGGCCATGAAGCCCCTCGAGAATGCCCTCATCAAGTTTTCAACCGGTATCGACTGGCCCACATAGGACTAATGTGTATTGTTCAATAGATGTGTAGCATATTTTTCGATTGAAATAAATATCTGAAGAAGTGTTCTCGCAATAAACAGAAGAGTGGTGTAGAACACAAAAGATACAATTTTACCCCAATTTATTCGTCATGAATTTAATTAAAGGTAGAGGGCAAGAAAGTTACTTCGCTCGTGACGTGAAGCGTAAGCAGTAGCAGGGCCACCCACCCGACAGCCTTCTTTGGGAAAACGTCGAACTGAATTTGCAGAAGTCACCAGTTCAATCCCAATTCGAGGCATGTTTCGCATCCTGTGGGTACTGTAGGTACTTCCTTTAGGAACCAAATTGATAGAATTTTCGGTATTTCACCTGCCGCCTTGCTCGAGATCTTGGAAACCACTCATAGTGAGCAGTGGCAATGCCAACAGCTCGATAGATGGGTACCCGACAGGATGACCT